TCGATGATTTAACTTCGTATGCAAATCTCTAGACCGATAAACTAGGATATTCTTTATAACTGGATGCTATTTGCATACGAATTCAATGTGAGCATACGTTGTAATAATCGGGCAAACTCGCACGGTTATGAGACGTTGCATCAATATTTGAAATCAATATTATTAGTTTTTGTAACATGTTGATTTTGAGTTTTCCAGTTATATCTCAGACAGAGTTGTTTTGTTATTTGTGCAACGTTTTCGTTTCACTACCTTATAACATGTATACAGTATACAAGGGGATAATATTTTTTCCTCGGTAAAATGGTAAAATAACCTTGTCAACTGTCAAAAGTCGATTCAATTCCATTCCAGCCATTTTGTTTGTTGTCTGTTATGATGAACAGGTCAATCAGTGGGATCAGTGAAAATATAGATTTTCAGCTTTTATTCGTAGTTATCAGAGTAAGTTAAGAACTAAACAAGTCTTGGACTGAAACAAATTCGAATGAGAATATGAATTGCTCATACCCAGTCCGGAAGATTTTATGAAAAAACACACGAATCAAGTGCTCCCCAGGGGGGGCATTGAAAATAATCAGAAACTTTTTATCGTGTAGTTCGATGAGCTCAATCCAAATATGCAATAAAAACAACGATTTGTTTGCTGGAAATAGCCAGTCCGCAGCATTTTATTCGATTGGTGAAGGCCGGATAGACCATTCTAATGAGTTAATAATCGTTGGTTCAATATTATGTTCACCCAGTATCTATTTGATCGATGATCAAGAATCCGATAGCTACTACGAAATAATTATTGTTTTCATGTTTGCAAGTTTGCATATGGCATTATAGCAACAAAAACAAGAAAATTAGCTTGTTTCAAGTTCACCTGAGATAATTTTCAATATTTTTGTCGCGTAGTTGTTCGTCAAATCCTTTATTGATGAAGAAATAACAAAATGGATACGGACTAATTGGAATGAAAACACAAACCATTATTGTATTTCTAGGGTGATTGCAAGGCTTCTCAAATACAAAAATTTAACTAGGTATAAATGCGTTTGATTCCTATAATAGGGTATAGTTAATTTCAACAATGGGCTTATGCCACAAAAAAATTTTATTTCATAATTCGATGGAACTCACCCAAACTAGCTCACCACCGCAAACCGTTTCTTGCTGTGAGCTCCCTACGTTTTATAAAAAATTATTGAAATCCCCGATTTTTCGGACCTCTCAAAACGAGGCGATGATGTGACGTCAAAACCCTAATACTGAAACAAGACTATTCCAGGCAGAGATGAATGATACATGATTTCTGACAGAGTGAATTAGTGCGAGATCACAGTTGGAAGAATTAATATATCAGTTGCCTCAGTCTCCGTCGGGCGTTTGTTATTTTCTTTTAACTATGGCGAGATGAGGTTTCTACGTCATAAGAGGGGTCCGTTTTCAGAAGGTACTATTATTTATGTCCAAAAATAAAACATTCCAGTTAATTTTTTCGATCGAATTATGTCGTCAATCATTATTTATGTATAAAAGGATCATTATAAACATGGTTTGAGTTAAAAGTTCTACTAAGGTGTACACGCCCATTCGTATATTTTTAATTCTGATGTGATAATGGTTGCGTAGGAATGACCTTTTTTTCATACCTTCTAATGAATATTTACATTTCATGTCTAATTTCATTAATGATCCACTGATATTAGTATTAGTTAAAAATCCTGCCTCGATACGAAATAATTTCATCATGAAGTATTAGTTTTAATCAGGAATAAATATTTATTGGTGTCCTGAATATCTTCTCAAAAGATCCCGAGGTAGGAGGCTGCGTCAGACATTTCAATTTAATCGTCAAAAATCTCTTGTTAGATGTAAGACAAATTGATATTCATCAGACGAAATGGTTTTTCGCGATATTTCCGATTCCTATCGTTTTTACAACCAAACTACATGAACATAAATAAAAATAAACGATAATTTTACACACAAAAAGTTAAATGCATTTTCTTGTGAGAGCAATACATATTATTGAATAAAACCCCGCAAAAAATTATGCATAAAAAACTATTCTTTCAATTTATTTTTATACTAAATCATAAATTGTGAAGACACATTCAATCATGAACATAATTCTGAAAATGCTGAAGGAAAGAAAAAGTGGTCTTGATAAATTAAGTGGTTGATTAATATTATTTTCTCCAAATGAATAAAAAATATATGAATGAAAAATGTTTCAGGAAATTTTCCAAGTTTCAAAACGGCATTTAGTTATGCATAAAAATGCGCATTATTTACGAGAGGCTCTAATTCTAGCCACTCTGTACATTAATCGTTTCATATGAGGAAATTATAGGCCGACAATTCGTGATTACTTATTGATATGATAGATATAGATTTCCTAGAAAAAATTAAAAACAAATAAAATGTTTCATGGCAATGAATTCGTACTCGGTCATATTTCAGCCTTGAGATAACTTATCAAAACAAATGACAACCGAAATCGTCAGAAATTTGTTGAATAGGCAATCATTACTATTTTATAACCTACCTGTCGCTTTTCAGTAACTGATGAATCGTAGTATTTATTCACAGCGTAGGTATGTACAGGGTACGCCTCTTAAAATGGAATTTCACCTTAACTCTTTCGTTTTCAGAGATATGAAAAAATGTTGAATGAAAAAGTTGTGTGGTCTATATCAACTTTGATTTTTTCAATGGAACACCCTATATAATTTACGACATGTCGATAGAGCCTTTTTTTTCTGATTTCAAGGTATTGTTTATTATGAAATTGAAATCGTTCAATCTCAATACAAAAAAATATGAATAGACAGTTTGAATGGAAGATTCGGTATTTTGGTAAACTTTGATGATTGATAACTCAATTATTTTTCATCCAAATATGCAACTCATGAAATCAGAAAGGAAGACTCTATCGACATGTTAGAAAATATATAGGGTGTTCCATTGAACAAATCAAAGTTTATGTCCTTTCTGGAAAAATGAATGACCCTGTATATACAGTAACTTCACGAAATAAAAATGTGGGTCGTTTCAAACAACTTTTTAATTCAACATTTCTTCACATCTCTGAAAACAAAAGAGTTAAGGGGGAGTTCCATTTTGAGAGGCGCACCCTGTACATACATAAGCCACCATGAGAAGGATTGATTGTTGACTGTTCTTCATGTTGAATTATAGATTGAAGTGAAATCTGATTCAAAACATTCTACAATATAATTTTTCTGATAACATTTTGAAGTTATCGTTCATTCTTCCGCTATTTTCTGTTCTCTCGCCTTTTCCTTCTTGCTTTTACTACCTCATTTGTTTGATCATGTTTGATATTATCAAATAATGTGCTTGTGTCCATTATCTATGAGTGGAAAATTAGTCTCAGGAATGGAAAATGTTGCCCCCAAGCTTCATCATTTAGATCTTTTCATTGTCATATAATAATGATAACATTCAACTTCCGAAAAAGAGCGTCCTATGTATGACATTCATCTGACAGTTTTATGTTACCAACTGAGATATTTATAATTGCTCTGGTGTGCCCACTCTTCAATTGTTTCGTCAGACTAGCTCTCGATATGAACAATTGAATGCGAGTTTGGAACGTGGGGTTATCATATTCGATGATAGATGGCCAAGATGGCCAACGATGAACAATTTCTTGAAACATTTCAAAACGCGTTTCGAATCTTATTTTAAAGTTGAACTAGACTTTCAAGGATGTTTTTCCGTCATCCGGGACCTGAAGAGTCCCGTTGATGGTGCATAACACGAATTCAATAATAGCTGACAAGAAGGATCTAGAGACAGGACGCAAAAGAGACAGGGCGCAGCAAGTGTCATATTTTCGGCATATTTCTGATTTTGTTCGAATTTAAAATAGAAATATTATAGATTAAGAGCATTAGTAGTTTATTAAGCAAGTATTTATATTATATTATTAGTTGAGTGAGCGTATTGTGCTTGCATCATGGACTCACTGTTGCAATGCGTGAGGATTATTTGAAAATCCGAACATTGCTTATATTTTTTGTACCAAAAGTGAGTAAATAAACTATTACCACAGGATTTTCTTGAGTTAGGACTTCGTGTCAATCATGAATTCACCATTGAAAGTCGAGAATATGAGGCACCCTTCCCATTAAAACAAAAAATAATTGTGAAAATGAAAATGTGAACTCTAATGAATGTGTCATGATGCCTGTAAAATAATTGTGAACATAAAAATGTGAACACTAATGAATGTGCCTGTAAATTTGGTTTGAAACTTCGGAAATTTAGCAAGATTCTCCCAAGCCTCGCTATCTTTCCAAAGTAGGCGATATCGAGAGATATCATTCCACCGAAGAAAGTGTGCTCTGATAGATGCCCTTTTTTGTCGTGACGTCACCAATTGTTGCGATGAAATTTATGCTGGAATGATGGATGGAAACAATGGAATATACAACACATTGATGGAAAAACGGATTACGTTGTGTGTCAGTGGTCATGTATCTTCAGAATCAGAAGAGGCTGATACGATTTTATTTTGCTTTTGGGTGTATGATAAATTGACATTCATCATACAGGGCGTGGAAATGAATTCTGAATTGAGACTCTGGAGAATATCAAAATCCAAAAATTTCTCAATATTATCAATGAATATACTTGAAATGTGTCAATTGTCGTGTCGATCTCATCCAAATCGCTGGATTCTCGCAAAGCGATTTGGAAGTGCACATTTGTTTACAAGAGTTTGATGGACTTCCATCAACATTCCGACGGTTTCTCGATTCATGCGTATGACAAAATGTTGGATGTCGTAATCTGTTTCCCATTTTGGTCGTGAATACGCAGTAACTACGTTGTTACAACGTAACGGCAAATAGTATATATTCCCTAATAGACGACCCAATAGTCGTCATAACGTAATCGCGACAATAAATGCTAGTTGCTAGGCTCTGGCAAAATCATTGGCGGCGCAAAATAGAGAAAAAAAAGAGGAAACCACTCACGTATTTCATGTCTTCGTTGCTCTTTTCCCTGGGAAACTTCTTGTTCGCTATGAACTTGATCCCGTTCTTCTCCAGCTCGTCGCTCATCAGCGATATGTATTCGGTGTACTTCTGCCCGTCTTCGGTGAGGGCGGCCACCCTTTTCCACCCGAAACGCTTGAACAGCGACATGTACACGTGCTTGTAGTGCTGGTTTTCGCCGATCGTCCTGCAGAATTATGAGTAATAATAATGATAATAGAATAGAATAGAATAGAATAATTTATTCATCCAAGAGACCATTATAAAATGATATAGGAAAAGTCAGTTTAAAACAAAAATGATTACATATAAAGTGGTAAATATAGACATTCATGAATATTTCACATCAAAGTATGTATAACAGATGAGTACAGACATTCAAATTACTAAACAAAATTTTAAAAAGTAAATATATATATATATATATATATATATAAAAAACTGAGAATATATTGAATCACATTATGTATCTGAGGATTGTGTACATCGATTGAAATTGATAAAATCATCACACGAGTAGAAACCTTGACTGCTGAGAAATTCTTTCGTTTTCTGTTTCAGTTTATTCACATTTGGCAGCGACTTGATTTCGATGGGCAGACAATTGAAATACCTTGACCCTATATAGATGGGTGACTTTTCGAAAAGTTTGGTTTTGTGTTTGATCATTTTCAGTAGGTTTCCATTTCTCGTAGGATATCTGTGTTGTTCACCATTGGTTGTAATTGAACCTTCTTTTTTTTAATATAGGTAATCAAGCTGTGGATGTATATGCATGGTAAAGTGAGTATTCTGTTATTTTTGAAGTAGGGTTTACAAGAATCTGTTCTTTTCAAATTGAATATCAACCGAATTATTCTTTTTTGAGCAACAAATACCCGATTTATATTATTACTGGCACCCCATAGTATTATATTATACTTAAGTACCGAGTGCACCATCGCGTAATATACGTTTATCAGCGATTTTTCGTCTAAGACACTTTTCAGTTGTAATATAGCGTAAAAACTGCTGTTTAGTCTTTTGCATACATAACTAATGTGATCTTCCCATGTTAATCCTGAGTCTATGTATGTTCCAAGAAATTTAGTTCCGTTTGAAGGGGTTATGATTGCATTATTCACGATAACATCTAGGGGTCTTTCAACGCTTTTCTTGCCAAAAAATTTAATGAGAACGGTTTTTCCTGAATTTACTAATAATTTATTATTTTTGCACCAAGATGTAAACCCACTGGCGACGATATTCAGTTTAGCTTGAAGTTCTAAAATGCTGTCGGCTTCTTCTGCAATAGATATATCATCCGCAAAGAGAACCATGCATTCTGTTTTCACGTGAAAAGGTGTCATTAATAAATAACAGAAAAATTAGTGGACCTAAAACCGAGCCTTGTGGAACTCCGAGGTCAACACTGTGCATATCTGAATTTGCTTCTGGTAAGTTAACGAATATTTTCCTGAATTTGAGATAAGATATTATCCACGACAGTATATTGCCTCTTATGCCAACAGCATATAATTTGTCGTATTATTTTTTGTGACGGGAAAGAAGTTTGACATTTCATCTCTGTTGACACGTTATCAAATGTCACTTTTTAAAAAATACTTTTATGCACGACCGGGCGTGAAGTAGCACTTTACCGCCTGGTTTTGCGGGCATAAAATTGCACTTTACTGCCCGCGGACTACTTTACCGCCCGGCGAATGGGTGACTCGTAATAAGCATTCCTGTAACATTCAGGATATTTATATTTTAGGTGCGATGGTTCATTATCTAGTATAACAATACTTTTGATATTCCAAAGATGCAAAAGTATATGATAGAACTCAAAATTATGTGATTACACCAATGGACAGCAAATATAAAAGTGTATAGTTCAAGAGCGGGCTGGAAATTTCGACCGTCATCTGATAACGAAATGATATATGTCCCAAAGGCATGTGAAACCATTATAGTTTATTGAACGAAACCTGTGCCAATCACTATCCTGAGCAGAATGATTAAAAATTTGCACTTTCCTGTACGGAAATTTGCACAATTTCGCGATATCCTTGATTTCTATCATTCTATGTTTTGGAATATGTTATCTTTATGTCTATTCATCCATGTAACTAGGTCGTAAATAAATGAAAATAAATAAATTAGCCTAAAAAATGGCGGCTGCCAATGTGTTAAATGCACTCTCTGTAATCTAGTCCATATACCATAGTGGAAGGAGAAGATACACCATCTTCTCCTTCCACACCGCTCAACAGAAAGCTCAAACTCGTCTTGTTCTGCGCATGACGTCAGCTGGGATATAACTGTCATTGGTATTATCTGTTTTCGTGATTGATGTCTCGAACTTCAGATATTATATAAGTACTAAAATTGTATGAAATAATTTCGAAATGCCCACTTGTTTCGTTTCTGGTTATGGAAATTCCAACTAACATACAAACTAATTTTGAATTGTTATGCTTTTCCAAGAATGGAGACCTAATGAAACGATGGGAGCTTGCTGCCGACAGAATATAGACTCAAATAATGGTACCTACCTAATATTCCTTATATCCTCATTCCAAAGTATTCTCCTATCATATTATCATCACATCCATATTACAGCACGTATTTCTTCAAAACATTTCCATGCAAAATGTTCCCAAACAACTGCGAAAGTACGGTTCTCGACAAAAAATCACAAATATTTGAAACAAGATGGCATTCTTACAGAACATCTTCCGTCGAATATCAAGTCAGAAATAATTGAAAATGAATTCAAAACTCTTAATTTCTCACAAAATACAAATTGCAGCAAAGATTTGAATAACAAAACGGCAAAAATTGATACTCCTGTTGTCGATGTCGGAGCAGAAGCAACGTCAACGTCGTTAACTGCTGAATTTGAATCTGTCAGAATCGACACAGTAGTGGATCATTCAGATGGGATTGGCAATGCATGATAATTCGTATGTTTTTGCTATTTGCGATGGCGAATTACCTCAACATCACAATTTCCAGAATCAATGAAATAGTAAAATCGAAGGAATAGGTACCTGTTTATATAAATTGAATTATTTCTAAACAGATCGAGCAACTCATCGAAATTTCAATAAACATGATTGAATTCATTGCGCACGCCCATGGCAACGGTAATGTCTGTGACTTGCAGCTGATATGGGTATCCCAGATGACGTCACATAATATGCGCGTAGGCACACCATCTTCTCCTTCCACTATGTCCATATACCAACTAAACATATACGGATAACATGCTATGCTTCCATAGTCAAAAGTGAAGCCAGTATTGAGGAAATAAATGATAGTCTGCGGGTGAAAATAACTATTTGAGCATGCGCGGGATTTGTCAATATCACGAGTCAAAATGGAGGACGAATTTCATTTAAATTTTATTTATATATTATTATGTTGTTGAAGTTTCTTACCGATGCCTCTGAAAATAATATTCCTCCGCGAAATTTTTTCCGATAGCAGGAAAAGTACGTCAAAGCATTGATATTGATGTCAAAGCTGTCAGTGGAATGGGGAAAACAATGAGAGCCACATTCCACATTCAATTCTATGATAATTCAATCATTTTTATTTCGAAATTTCAGCGATTTGAGTGCTTTTGAAAATCGGCCGATGGTGGAAGACGAACAGGTATACAAAGCAAGAAATAATGTTATTTTGTTGAAGTGAAAAGTATACAGAAACTTGAGATCTTTGGGCTGATGGTTGTACAAACTTCTGCTGCTTTGAAATTCAGAGCCGATAGAGAAACTTTGGTTTGTCTATGCTAAAGCCTTGAGCAAGGTCTTGAGATGGAGAATAATGGAGATATTTCATAATCTTTTTATTCTTATTCCTTGTATACAATTACAAGATTCAAATTATTCACAGTGTTAATCATATTCTGGTTTATATGTTGAAATAAAGCAAAATTGAGTAGGTACTTATTGAATTTTTTATTGTATCAGAAAAAGTGAAAAAGAAATCATTAGATTGGTTACTGAAATTGCACTTGTCTTTTCTATGGAAACATCATAGGCACTTTTACAAGAATGATCAGTCCTGGTGGAAGTTGAAGTTGCATCAGCACTCTGGTAAGCGAGTTCTATCCTTCCAGCATCTTTGTCATTATCAGATTCATCCTCTTTTACTGAGGATGATTTGGTTGATATAGCTGAAGAATGATTACAGACATATTCAAGTTTTGTAAGGAAGTGGCCTTCCTCTGTCCCATTCATAACCACTGATCACAGGTTTTACATTTTGATGCATTGTAATTGGTGAATTCTGTAAAGGTATTTAATCTGCGTCACAGAAAATGTACCTACTTCTGCAATTGTATTTGAATTCCCTTGAAACTTGAAAGAAAAGCACATTACATAGAACACTGAAAAGATATTTTCTCAAAATGAAAGAAATTACCTTCATAATCTGTTTTTAAGAAGTGTCTGCTACAGACAGGCATATATATTTGTAAATGGGCTTCCCAATTTTTGTAATGTTCTGCCACACTTCGTATAATTTTGCATCTGTTGGGAAGCTGTACATTTGTATGTTGAAGATGTCTTGCACTTGTTGGTCATTATTGATTATTCGAAGTATTCTGAGACAAAAAACTTCAGCAAACTCGTTCCAAAACCGCGAATTAAAGCTGTTTGCTTCATCAAAACCACCAAAACTTCGCAAATATGAATTCTAGTGAAGTCTCGGTCATGATTTCTTGTCTGAGGCTTCAGATTCAGATAACAAACTATGTATTGTATTTTAGGTTATGTCGTACATTTCACGAAAGTTTTAATAATACTCATATGTTCATTACAAAGCCATCGCCTGCTGAAAGGAATTTTGCAAACTGATGTCTTTTCTTATTTTTAGATGACGCATGCGCTGTAATACAGTTTTGCTCGCAGACTGTCATTTATTTTATTTTTTGGCTTCACTTGGAGATCCTTGATATTAGTCCAATAAATGAAGGAGGAAAAAAAGGCAAAGTTAACTCTAATTACGCACTATTTTCATCTTCTGGTTGGAAGTAGCTTTTGGTACCTCATTAAACATGAGACAAAGTTTGACTGGAAAACGCGTGCGATGGCGGAGAAAATGGCCCCAAAAGACCAGGAAAATAGGTTTTCAGCCAATATCTCCTAAAATATGGCAGTTAGAGATTTTCGGTTCAGATAAAAATTGAAGTTCAGTTAATTCTCTACAAAAATGGTCCTTATCATTTTTCTCGAAACTTTGCCCGTTTTCGAGAAAAACGGCACGAAGGGCCCCTCGAATAATGAGCTTCTGTGTTGTATACCGGAGAGCACAGTCTGTGTATTTACACATCGGCGGAGGGACAAATTATTCAATAACTTTGTTATAAATGCATATTTCCTCATGATTCAAAGTTCATGTGAAAGAGGAATTCTGCTGCTATCATACCCTGCGTGGCCGCATGGTTTGTAGCAGACGACCCGAGCGCCACGTAGAGCACACACGCGGCGAACGACGGAGGAACGAAAGTAATAAATTATAGCGTGTACATTTAGAAATACTGGTTTTTTCCCGGGATATCAAAGGTATGACTTATATACATCGATGGAAAGGTGGGAATTCCCCCGTTACACTAGTTAAGGTAATAAAATGTTAGAAATAAAGAGCACGGAGAAAAAAAAACACCGAAAAAAAAGTGCGTTCTTTCCTTGACCCCGCTTTTTCTAATTTTATCGAAAAATGGACGACTTCGTCTAAAAAAGTAATTGCACAATCGAAAAGTAGGCCTTCTTAGCTTTCAAATGATGTATCATAGAAACCAATCGGATCATGTATAAATTTTTAATTGATGGTTGTTCACAAAATTTCCCCGCGCTCCAAAAACAGCAAAAAATTGGGATTCAATGAACAAAGATTGAATGAAAACTAAAAAAAAATAAGGGTATACAAATTTCAGGGATGACAAAGGACCTTATGAGGACCCGTAATCAAGAAAATCTTGAGTAAATTAGTGCAATACAAAAAAAATAGGAACAAATTCCTGGCGAGGTCAAAATTGACCGGGAGCAGAAAGTTTGACCCATGTTCCGATATGGCCAAAAGAGTCAAGCGTGACTCAATTCACAGGGTATGATAGCAGCAGAATTCCTCTTTCACATGAACTTTGAATCATGAGAAAATATGCATTTTTAACAAAGTTATTGAATAATTTGTCCCCCCGCCGATGTGTAAATACACGGACTGTGCTCTCCGGCATACAACACAGAAGCTCATTATTCGAGGTGCGCTTCGTGCCGTTTTTCTCGAAACCGGGCAAATTTTCGAGAAAAATGATGAGGACCATTTTTGTAGAAAATTAACTGATCTTCAATTTTTATCTGAACCAAAAATCTCTAACTGCCATATATCAGGAGATATTGGCTGAAAACCTATTTTTCTGGTCTTTTGGGGCCATTTTCTCCGTCATCGCACGCGTTTTCCAGTCAAACTTTGTCTCATGTTCAATGAGGTACCAAAAGCTACTTCCAACCGGAAGATGAAAATAGTGCGTAATTAATGTTAACTTTTTCCCTTTATTTATTGGACTATATCCGTATATATATGTTTCGTAGGTATATGGTCTAGTCCGACTAGTTGAAAAAACAAAAAAACTACGTACCGGAAAAAGTAGGGGTACTTGAGCCGGTCGGAGAAGCTGGCCCCCTCCGCGCTGTAAGACACGATCAGCACGCGGTAGTGTTTGGAGACGCCGGCGATCGGCTCCACGGTCTCCGAGCAGGCAGGCCCCAGCACGCCGACCATCTTCTTGTAGTACTCACCGTCGGCGATGAAGTCGATGAAGTTCTTCATGACGGCGTCCGGCTGGCAGTTGCCGTCGCTGATGATCAGCCGCAGTTCGTAGTCCTTCAGCAGGCTCTGGAATGATCGAGACGATCAGTCAGAGTAACGAGTGATTTATTTTGCTAATTTCTCCTGCGGTGAAGTACGGAAGCTCTGGAGAGCCAGTATGCGTTTTCAGTGCCGTAAATAGCCTTTATTTACAACCATATACAGGGTGAGTCATGACTAACCAGCCATAGCCTAATGGCGGATAGCGGAGGTCAAGGTGAGTTGATATACAGGGTGTTTCAGACTTAAATGTACATACGATACTGGCAGATAAAGGACAAGTTGACGGTTTCAAACATGGACGTATAAACAAAGAAGGACCCATTTATTTACATCGTAATGTGAAGTCAGAGAATACGGTCACGGTATATCACCTGATGTTGAATTGGAGGTTGTCACGTCCTGTCGCTGATAATTCCTAACCTCAGTCTAATCCCCTCAAGTATTTGTACTTTCCTCTTTTGTAATCATCTATTCAATTAGATGTTCATTATGATCCAATTCATAGAACTCAAGGAATAAATCATACGTCCATAGATAGTCACAATCAAATATTAAAAAACTGTCGTTATACATCATTTCGAAGTTATTCTGTAAAGGTTACCGAAATTATACACAACCGACAACGCCGCTGCGAAACAGGCTCGTTTCGTGATGTCTCGTGCTTTCGGCGTTGTTCGTTTATGTTCATGTGTTTGAGGAAGTTTATTGTTTTCGTTGTTTTTGAGTGAATCTTCTTATTTTTTTGTGAAAAGTTGATAGACATAGACTAATAATGGTGTTACACTGCTGGATTTGCGAAAAAACAAAGTTTTAATACCCAAATTTCACCTTCCATTCGTAAGTACCATTTGTTTACATGTTCGAATTAGAGTTCCATAGGCGTAACAATTGATATTTTCATCCAATAGAGAATGCGAAGTCTCGATGTATTTCTTCATATATGTTTATATCCATCTTTTTACTTACATAATTCATCTGAGAACATTCCTTTTCAATGCTTTTCTCGAGGCTTTTCTGTTAAGAGGAAGTTGTACTATGATATAAAGCAATAATGCAAGGGTTTCGTAGTCCCTAACTTTTCACGGTCATTTTCCATTTTGAGAGGATGAAAAAAAATTTACATATTCATGAAGATCTTATAAATGTTTCTGCCGTCTTACTTTTTCGAAATTTGATTCGGTTCTTGAGAAAAAAAATTTGAAAATCATCAAAAAACACGTTATTTTGCGATTTTTTTTAAGAAAAAACTGAATCAAATTTCGAAAAAGTGAGACGACAGGAACATAGACTAGATATTCACAAATATGTACTGATTTTTTCATTCACTCAAAATGAAAAATGAACATAAAAAGTTAGGGATTACGAAACCCTTGCATGGCAACAATTTATGTCCAGAGAGTGGTGCCGCTCTCAGAATTTATAGGAATTACCATTTATGAAAGGACATGAAAGATACATGCCTTATTTGCACTGTTTACGAGGGTCTGGCATGTGTAAAAAATTGAAATTTCATAATTTCAGTGGGATATCATATCATCATTATTTCATATCATTTCAGACTGCTCCAATATACGTAGAAATTCAAGAATATACGGCAATTTTACGGCGAGGTTCCCAAAATTAACAATCAATAATAAAATTAAAAACATATAAATAATAATTGTGAATAAGTATATATACAGTGTCATTCATAAAGTCGGCATCATATGGGAAAAACTTTTATTATTGACTTATTTTGGAATTCGAGTTGGACGTTGAGTTTTGCTTCAAAAAAGATGAAAAATGGCCTACTCAATTGGGGTCACGTGACTTTCGCTACATGTCAAAAGTGACATTTTTTCGAATTAATTGCTGAAAGTAGGCTTATTTGTTCGAATATCGAAAAAGTTTACTTGAAAAAGTTGTTCCTACTGGTATGAAGTAGTTTTATAGAATTTACAATTTTTTTAATATTACAGAAATTTCGAAATTTTTTTAAAAATATCGAAATCTGAAAGATGTAATAGAAAGATAAAATCCGAGTCACATATGTAAAATTCAAATAGAAACAAATTTTTCAAGTAAACTTTTTCGATATTCGAACAAATAAGCCTACTTTCAGCGATTAATTTGAAAAAATGTCAATTTTGACATGTAGCGAAAGTCACGTGACCCCGATTGAGTAGGCCATTTTTCATCTTTTATGAAGCAAAACTTGACGTCCAACTCGAATTTCAAAATAAGTCATTAATAAAAGTTTTTCCCATATGATGCCGACTTTATGAATGACACTGTATATATAAATAATTATGCGAATTTGATTAAATGCCCAGTACACTATATATGAATTATATACCTGATGTTTCATTTCCTAATGAGACAATTTTTCTCTTGTGAAAATTTGATATTGTTAAATATTCATTGACCTATGTACATTTGTTTCTTATCCTCACTACAAGGTCCGCTTCGTAAGGTTTTTTTTCCAGTTGGTATAACCCGAGCTATAACCCATAGCAACCCGGATTGATAAACGGTCATATTGTGATTGGTATTCAGTTTTTAGTCGCTCTTTGCATTTTGGATTCCCAAATTTACTATCACTATAATTCATTTTCGCACGCCGCTGTCGTTTGAGGAAATAGCACAGTCTATCGTTACCGTTTTCCTTTCCCTCAACCCGCTTGCCTACATCTCTAAGACTTCAAAACATTATATGCTGAAAGTATAGAGTTGCTGTGTCCTTCTTTTTTATACGTCCATGGTTTCAAATCACCCCCATTTGATATGTTTATCGTCTTTTATAACTGAGAAACAGGACGTTATCTTGATTTTGGCAAAATCTTCATCTGGTCATAATTTTTGAACCACGTTGTATAATCTATTCATACTTGGTAGAAATATTTCACTTATATTGCACATCAAACCTCAATAAAACTTGAGATCAGAATCCAGGTCCGTCTTAAGGAAAAACAGAAAACTTGTTTATTTCAAAAACAACACTCTGTATGGCAAAATTTTGTGGATCTGTTTCGATATTTGGAAAGAGCAGGAAAAAATGTATGTAGTGACCTACTTATAACAAGCGCGCATCCAATTAGACAGATAGTTCATTACTATGTTTTGAAATATTCACCCCATTTCGAGGAAATTTTATCGAACTGTTTTTCAAAATCCAATTTTCATACAAAAAAATAATTGTCTTCAAAGTTGATCGTCATTAAAAATAAATTAGGTGAACAATTGATAGATTTACCGCAGCTCATGAATCAATAGTAAAGAATAAAACAAGCCCTAAAAAATTTCCAAAATCACAGACGTTATTCTGTCAAACGAACAGATTTATCTATTTCACACCACTGATGTTGAACTTCGAAGGACGTTATTATTTTGTGAAATAATTGGATTTTGAATTACGAGTTCAATAAAATTGACTCAAAATGGAGTATATCAGAAAATAATAATAAAACATCTGTTAAATCGGATGCGCGGTCGTAAAAAGTAGGTCACTCCATTCGTTTTTTCCTGCTCTTTCCAAATATCGAAACAGATCTAAAAAATTTTGCCATACAGTGTTGTTTTTGATATAAAAAAAGTTTTCTGTTTTTCCTCAAGACGGACCTGGATTCTGATCCCGATTTTCATTTAGTTTTGATGGGTAATATAAGTGAAATAGTTCTAAGTATAGATAGATTATACAAAGTTGTTCAAAAGCTATGACCAGATGATGATTTTGCCAAAATCAAGATATCATCCTGTATCTCAGTTATAGAAAACAGTAGACACATTAAAGGGGGGTAATTTGGAACCATCACAGTGTCCCCTATCTACAGGTATCGTATGTACATTTAAATCTGAAACACCCTGTATATGTAAAAAAATATTTTTTGCCTATTCTTTACAGAAATACAGGGCATTATTTGAATTCAGGGCAAAACTTGAATCTTTCCAGGAAAAAATTTGATTTAATTACTTTTAGTCGAATGTAGAGAGTGATATGCCCGGACGAAATCGAAGAAAAATTCATCGGTATTTTGTTTGATATTTTTTTACCAAAACGATCGAAGTGTGCCGTACGAATTGAAAAGCCATACTTGTAGTATTTTTCTTGATCTTTCTGATTCTGATAAAAGTTTTCGAAAACTCCGATCCAGAAGGTCAAAATTTTGACATCTAAAGAGAAAATGAGTTATCCAAGTCCGGATCTGGAATTTTTTATTCATAGTACGTCATCTTGTGGAGTGTCAGTAGAGGTAAGTTGCTAGTGAATTTCAGCCGATAACATCGAGACGTTCCTGAAATATCGTTCATTGGAGTTTTGCCCCGAATTCAAATAGTGCCCTGTATTTCTGTAAAGAATAGGCAAAAAATATTTTATTATATATACACTCACCGGCAAAATAAACCGGCCACCAAAAAATTTCCCCAAATTGTTCACACTATAACTTTTTAAATCCTTGTCGGATTTTTGTGAAATTCAGATCAAATCGTAGATCCATGTTCCGGAATGTTAGCCCAAATATTAGTTTTCCTGAGAAGCTGATGACTTGATCATTATACAGTGAAAAACCAAAGTTACTCTTTCACCCTATACTTCTCAACGCCCTGTGGCAAAATTGCGTGATTGAACATGGCTTCGTTATGCTTCGGATTGGAGTCTGATCCCTTCTTAACACAAAAGTTTTTGATTCACGTCAATATCTTATTTTTAAAAGAAGATACGAGTTTTTTGAGGAAGTATGGTGTTTTTCAACTTTTTTTACCAATAATCAGAACTTACATGGACTTATTGATTAACAACTTCAAGGATTAATATAACATATTTCTACCTTACTCTCTTAGCACTTACCGGAAAATCAATAACAAAAAACAAACAAGAAGCAGACCTGTAGTCAATAACGAGTATGCTCTGAATTGCAGCATTCAAGCGTAGTCCTCCTCCTCCTCTTTGAAGGGCGAATCGTAGCTCTTGAAGAGTATCAGACAAGGCTAGGCGAAGGCAAATGAGCTTTCTAGAGGTCACCCCTGAGATAGGTAGGTTCTGAATT